TCTCCCATATCTTGATGATGTCTTGTGCTATGCAAGAACATTCGGAGAGCATATGGAAGCAGTTCGTAAAGCGCTCCAGGCTCTACAGAAACATGGAGTAAAGTTATGAGCTGAAAAATGTGAGCTGTTCCGACAGGAAGTCAGGTATGTTGGCCGGCTGGTGTCCACTCAGGGAGTGAGGATCGATCCAAGGGATCTGGAAGCTGTGCGGTCACTAGTTAACAGGACCCCCAAGACCGTTGGAGACATAAGAAAGCTTACTGGGTTCCTTGGTTAATACCGATCATACATACAGGACTTCTCATGAATAGCCAAGCCGATCTACGAGCTACTCGAAGCAAAAAAAAGGTCAAGCAGTCTCGAAGCGTAACCCAACCATTGGACCACAATTGCCTGCTCAGACACCTGTCGAGTTGACTTTGGTACATCAAAGTGCCTTGGAACAGATCATCTCCCTGCTCATGAACCCTCCTGTGTTAGCCTATTCAGACTTTAACTTGCCATTTTTCTTGCACACAGATGCCTCAGACCAAGGCCTTGGTGCAGTCCTATATCAACACCAAGAGGGTAAGTTGAGGGTGGTTGGATATGGCTCAAGGACGTTGACAGCAGCGGAGCGCAATTACCACCTGCACAGCAGAAAACTGGAGTTCTTAGCCTTGAAGTGGGCTGTGTGTGAAGTTTAGGGACTACCTGTTTTATGCCAACCACTTCACAGTATTCACCGACAACAACCCTCTAACTTACGTGATGAGCACTACAAAGCTAAACGCAGTAGAGCACCGATGGGTTGGGGAGCTTTCAGACTTCAGGTTCGACATCAAATATCGACCTGGAAAGTCAAATGCGGATCCGGACACGCTGTCCCGCCTCCCATTAGACATTGAAGAGTACACCAAATTATGTACTAAAGAGTTTAACAGTAAAGGGGTACGTGCAGTTTGGGACAGAAGCCAAGTGGCCCAGCAAAAAGATGTGGCCTTAATTGCTGTCCTTAACATCTCATCTCAGACTGCCTCCCTTTTACATGACCAGTCAGCTGCCATTAGCCATGATGAACTGGTGGAAGTGCAGCGAGCTGATGCACCAATCAATGATGTGATAAGGCTAAAAGAAAAAAGGTACACATCTAACCAATGAAGTACGGAGAACAGCACGTGTGGCCACAAGAAAACTGTTTCATGAATTGAGTAAGTTGGTTCTGGAGAACGACCTCTTGTATCGACGTGTCCATGAGAGAAAACAACTGGTCCTGTCAACTAAATATTGACAACAAGTGCTTAAGGCTCTCCACAATGACATGGCTCATGTGGGTACTGAGAGGGTCTTTCATTTAGTGAAAGAGAAATTCTACTGGCCCTTCATGGCCAAATATGTAGAAGACCATGTCACTAAGAGATGCCCATGTATTAAATCCAAAAAGCCAGTCACTCAAGTCTGCGCACCAATGGGCAGCACAACATCAAGCTCTCCATTGGAACTTGTGCGCATAGATTATCTGTACCTGGAGACCAGCCGAGGGGGTTATGAGTATATATTGGTTGTAGTTGACCACTTTACCAGATTTGCTCAGGCCTATCCCACAAAAAATAAGAGAGGAAAAACAGCAGCTGGATGCATTTTCAATGATTTCATATTGAGGTTTGCATACCCCTCAAAGTTACACCATGATCAAGGCCGTGAGTTCAAAAATGAACTGTTTCATGAACTAAGACAGCTGTCCGGTATCCACCACTCAAGAACATCGCCATACTACCCTCAAAGTAACCCAGCTGAGCGATTCAATCGTACAATACTTCAAATGTTGAGAACACTGATGGACGAGGAAAAGGAGCGATGGAAAGATAAAGTTCCACATGTTGTACTGTACATGCGTACAATTGTACCCGACAAGAGTAGACAGGCTTCTCTCCCTTTTTCCTACTTTATGGCCACCATCCTCGCCTCCCCATTGATTTGCTGTTTGGTCTGGTTGCAAAGAATCAGACACCTCAAAAGGGTATGCAAAGAAGTGAGCAAGGCAGATGTCAGAAGCTCATCAGATTGCTAATAACAACAGTAGACAGGCCAGTGCCAAGGGCAAAATGCTGTATGATAAGAAGGCCAGAGGAGTAGTCCTGAGGTCTGGAGACAGAGTTTTAGTAAAAAACCTCAATGTGCATGAAGGCCCGGGGAAGTTACGCTCTTACTGGGAAAAAGCCATCTATGTAGTAAAGGAACAGTTGGCTGAGAACCCAATATATGTAGTTTACCAAGAGAATGGAGACAAACAAAAGACTCGGACATTGCACCGCAATCTGCTGTTACTGGTGAATGATCTCCCGGTCGAACCCCGCCCACTTCCTGCTACAGGAAAAAGGGAAAGAAAAGTCAAACACCTTAATCATCGTCCCAATTATCGAGAACTCATGAGTCACCAGGAAGAATCAGACTCAGATGTGCATTCAGACAGTGACTCGAACTATCCTCATTACTGGTTGAGACCAGCCGCAGGAGTTCAAGAGCCACCACCCATAACTCCCACCCCACAACCAATTGCGTTCTCAGGTCATCTAACATCAGCACCTGGAAGGGAAGAAAGAATCTTAACCGAGACCAGACAACCAGAGTACTTACTTGAGATGAACTTGACACCAGAGAAATAGAGAGGATAAAACCAGAATGTGATCAGGACTGGCATGATGTTGTTGGATCTGAAGAAGAGAATAACATGGTGGGGGGCCTCAGAGCTTATCAAGGAGGAACCAAACCCTACTCACCTGGTGCCAGACAATCAGACAGAGGTCAGGAGATCAACTAGGGAGTGGCACCCCCCACAGGTCTTCACATATGACAGTCAGGGTCACCCCACACTGACAACACATGCTACAGTTAACTCTGTGAATACAGATTGGCCTGCTGGCACATTTCCTTTTTACACATATCCTCCCTACGCTACACATACATGTTCACTCAATCCCTATTTTGATCACTGTCAGTATTACACACACATGCCATACACATTCACTCCACATATGATACCTGTTCCTTTTCTATGTTAAGAGTAGAAAAAAAAATCAGTATTCAGTTTAAATAGTTGAGTAGTAAATGGAGGGACCCATTTCTTTTTTGCTGGGGAGTATGTGACAGGCACAAAATTATTACCATTGGTTACCAATGGTTGTTTAGAAGTATTTTGTCTTTCTTATCTTTAGGCGTTTTAAGTTTCAGATCTAAATATATTGCAAGAATAGTGTGGTGTAACCCAACCAGCAGGGGACAGCATGGTGCAGCGGTTGTCTGTGTCTTTCTCTCAAGCTCTTTCATAACCAGAGATTCCAGAAGCTACGCCATCTTGTTGTCCTGTCTCATGATTAGCTGCCTGTATTCCAGGAAACGTATCTGCTGACTCGGTGCTGCCTCTGCAGTACCCGTTACAGATGGACAGATGGATAGATTGATAGACAGATGGACAAATAGACAACTGGATGGATAGATGGATGAAAGATGAATGGATGGATAGATGGACAGAAGGATAGATAGATAGGACGGATGGATAGATGAACAGAAGGATAGATAGATGGGATGGATAGATAGATGGCTGGATGGATAGATGGATAGATGGACGGATGGATAGATGATAGATGGACGAAAGATGGATGGATAGATAGATGGACGGATAGACAGATGGATAGATAGATGGATGGACAATAGACAGCTGGATGGATAGATGGATGATAGATAGACGGATGGATAGAATGACAGATGGATGGATAGATGGATGAATGGACAGATGGATGGATAGATAGATGGCCGGATGGATAGATGGATGGACGACAGATGGATAGACGGATGGATAGATGGACAGACGGATGGATGGACAGATGGATGCATGGACAGATGGATGGATAGATGGACAGATGGATGCATGGACAGATGGATGGATAGATGGATGCATGGACAGATGGATGGATAGATGGATAGATGGATGGACAGATGGATGGATAGATGGATGGATAGATGGACAGATGGATGGAT